CTGGAAGGGGCTTCCCGTTGCATGAGGCTGATTAGGTAGATGACTAATATATCCTCCTTGTGTAAAAGACAGTAAATCACCCTTTAATGTATTTAATTCATTTTGAAATTTGCTAGTGTTTTCCATTTGTGCTTCTTGCCATTGTTGTTGACTTTCCTGTAGTTGCTACTGACTTTCCTGCAACTGTTGGAGATTTTCTTCCTCTTTCCTTTCTTGTCCCAGTTGCCACTGCTGTTATCTCTATTCTTGTTTCTTTTCTTTTTCCTCCAGCAACTGCTGTAATCTCTTTTGTTTATTTTGCTGTTCGAGCTGCCATTGTTGCAGGTTTTCTTGCCACTGCTGTAATCTCTCTTTATGTTTCTTTTTTTTCCTCCAACAACTGCTGTAATCTCTGTTCTTGTTTCTTTTCTTTTTCCTCCAACAACTGCTGTAATTTCTCTTCTTATTTATCTTCTCGTTCTTCTTGTTTCTTTTGCTGTTCTTGTATTGCTGCCATCAAATCTGCTAAGCTGTAGTTTGATTTGCCGCATCTCGTTTCCATCTTCTTCTTTTTTTATCCCACTTCTGACATCAATTTGTTTAGTCTCTGGTCGTTTGTTAATTACTCGTAAAAATTATTTCCGAATAACTTCAGCGATACAAGTCTTTTCTTAAATAAAACTAGTTTATTCTTTCACAATTCAACTTTGCAATACACTTAATTTCCATAGTCACATTAACTTAAACACACGCTATAATTGACAATGAACGATTCATGCACTTTTCCGGGCTTGACTCAATTGTCCGTCTCTATCTCTGCCTGTCTGTAATTCAATCCCGATTAATTGTCTGGCGCACTTATATACAAGAATAGAGGGCGCTTCTAGCAAATACTGGATTATTCGTGATGTTCCCCGATCTTTTTAGAACTCATTACGTGTTACCAGCGTCACGTGACTTCCGCTGTCGTAACAATAGTTTGATTTGATGCACCCACTATCCCAAAATGAGGAGCGCGATTTATTTATTAATATACATTACTTTATGTGTGTGTGGTAACAGGAAGCGAATCATGGAATCTCAGATCCATTGCCCAACACACTGACCAATAGGTTGTACTCAGCTCGAGCACTGTTAACTTGTTAATTTTCAGAAACCTTGATATTTCATATACTGTGAGGTCAAGTCATATCAAAATCCTTTAGGAATTAAGGTGAATTTCACCACTGTTTTCAAGTTCAGAAAATGTCTATAATTGTTTCCGGGATATGAATTGAAACGAAATTTGCACGGAGAGTTGTGTGAACTTCGAATATAATGTATTTAAGGCTAAGGAATCTTATTATAATGGAGCTTGCGATGTATACGTCCAAAACCTGGATCTCGAAAACTACCGCACCTATTAGTTAAAATTTCCACAAAAATGATATGTTTCAGATTTAACCAATATACATTACAAATAAAATGGAGTAAGTTTCAGATTTAATCAATAAAAATTACAAAGAAGGAGTCAGTTTCAAATATAAAACACTCAAAAACAAACTTGAAATAAAAATGTATTTCTTTGGTGAAAATCTCATGAGTGTTGCAACAGAAAAGCAAGGCACTTTCGTTGACAACTGTGTCTACAAAGAAACACTTAAATAAAATCTACTCTGTGATGTAATGCTATGATGATAGCTCATTTTAAAACTAAAAATTCAATAAATTCCTTTTTCTCATGGATGGTGAACATTATCGAATGTCAAGTATGAGTACATTGTTGTAGAACTGTCAGACAATTCCAGAAAAGGCAGCAGGCCTGTAAATAGCAGTTATAACTGTCTGAAGGGCGTGTATTTCTGCTAGTAATTTTAATGATATGAAAATGCTTCTATTACCTTTTGCCTCCAGGTAGATTTCAGCAGTAAGACTAAAGACTTATAATGCTAACAATCGGGTTTCAATACCCGCGGTGGACAGATTACAGATAGGCCATAGTGTAACTTTTTACTTAAAAAATAAACTCTTTTTTTACGTGTCTTTGGACAATAAGAAATAAACAAAAGGGTTATACGTTTATTGATAATTATCTAATGCGTATATTTTTATTTTAAAATAACATTTTGAAGGTAAAAATAGATTTAAATCAGGGTATTGTTGACTCTAGATTCTAGTTATTTTTGGAATAATGTTTGTATTTATACAAGTTTTGCTGAAATTATTTACGTATTTCTGTTTACTTAATAAATAAAACCTCAATTAAAGTACCTAACGATATAGGGAATGGGTATTAAAACCACCCAGCCAAATTTTAGAAAAAGTATAATCTATTTATTTGTGGAACAGGAATTTTTTCATAATTTTGTTCAAGAAGAAATTCCATTGCGTATGAGCACCAAGCCACCGTTATCAGTGGGAATTAGGCTTTGTTAGGACATGTGGTTAGGGAGTAACGGTTAATTTTTGCAAAGAAACGGTAATTTATATTTGAGAAAATTATATAAAAATTGTTTCGTAAATGTATCAGTACTTACGCCATTTACGGAGTTTTACTCTTTAGGCCTTCAGGTTTTTCTGGCCATTATGTTACCACAAATTTAATTTAATTTTTGAACGATGGTTTTTGAGAACGCCATCGTTTGTTTAAAAATTATTTAGGTAATTGTCGTTCTTGAAACTTGAATTATTTATATTTCATAGTTAATATCTCTATGTTAGCATTAAAATAAAGTATCGCTTTGTGTTGGATACTCTATTAACTTAAATTAAGGCTGAATATAATCTATTTAAAAAAAGGATGTAGAAGAGAAACATTAATATTTTTTGATTTAAAAATAAAAGTGCAGCGACGTCTTCTGTGAGCGAAAACTATTCATTTTAGGCTAACACTAACAGTAAGTACCACGTCAAACAAGAACACAAGGTTAGGCCTAACGTACTAAGTATCTTCTTTTCGCAAAATGAATACAAGTACAAGTACTAACGTTAGTTCGAGTAGTGTAAGCCACGCGCAACAGGTTATGAATAAATTGGAAGATTTCGATTTCCCTTACTGTGATGAAGTTACGAAGTATGAAAAACTTGCTAAAATTGGCCAAGGAACATTTGGGTAAGTATCCTTAGGTTTAATTAACTTAAGTCTTACCTCTGTGGATATTGGACATTATAAGTATAAGTTTAACTTGTATTTATACGTTATAACGTCGAACGATAAGTTTGACCAAATAACAAGCGTGGAGAATGCACTGATAAGTGATAATATGAGAGAATGATTATATCTGATGAGGCACAAAATATTTAATCAGTTAAACGTCAAAATGAAATTAAAGTTAAACTCTAAATAAATTACACAGTATGCAATAAGTCCAAAATATTTGATTAATAATAATAATAAATTAATATGTAAATTTTTGATCTGTTGGAAGTATTATGACTTAATACTAGGAGAAATAAAGTTATTGTAATTTGCACAAGTTGTTGTAATTTGAAGAAGTGTAATATGTAAAAGTGTTTTTTTTTTGGCTACAGTTTTATTGTAGTAAATATATCAGCATATAATTCTTTCTCCATTGGCACATTAGTCAAGTTCATAGATTTAGTGAATAGTATTACTATTATTTTGGATAATAATGCAGTGCTATAAACTTTTGACAAGTAACATGATTTTGCTATGGAAAAAAATTATGTACCTTGAATTTTCTTTAGTGTTAAAGCAGTGTAGTTCTCTCTCTGATTGATTTAGTTTAATAATATCTTCTTTAACTAAATGTGCATGGGCTAGGTCCATTGGATCTACCCTGTATTGAAGAAGGAATGTTGGTTTTATGTTTCCAAATTTATTACATGTATGTACATGAAATATGGCAAGTCTGTTGTACACAAAAATTCAGATGTTACTAAAATATGTGAATTGATTATGTCAGTCTGACATGGACTCTTAACAAGTTCGAGTGCAAGATGATGTTCACTTGAAGAATACAAGTTCTTTTATCCATTGTACACTTTGATTGTTGTATTTGCATAACCTCTAGAACCTCCTAAATGCATATCTACAGTTTTTTTTTACCATTATCCCTGTATATTGTACCTAGTATTTACTAAAGCTGGGTACTTTTAAAATTTTATGTCAGTTAGTTTTTCTTCCCTGAAGTTTATTTTCTCAAATAATCTCATATTTTTATTTTATAAAATTTAAGAAATAAAAAAAATAATATTTATTCTGATACATATTCATTTAAAGTTGATAACCATGAAAACAATAAAACATTTTCACCATGTAAGCATCTGAAAAGTTGCATTGTTTGCAGACATCTAATTAATAATTACACAATTGTGTCCATGCATTGTATGAAAAAAAAATTAAACAAAAATAGTTATAATGCTTAGTGTATTAAAATAAAAGGGAAGAAAGTGCTGAAGCAGCTAGTGTAACTTGGGGATCAGCAGTTTTTTAAACTTGTAAACAGCTTGGATGATAAAATAAAACAAATAAAATGATGTAAAGGTTTATCAAATAACTTTCATTCATAACAGACCAATTAAGTTAATTGTTGTGCAGTTGTGATGATCAAGGCTAAATGTAAACATTTATTCTAGATTTTGTTTGTTTGAAATATCTAGGGTTTTAACATGTAGTCTAGCCATTAATGCCGAGTGTTTTGTGTAGGGCCTAAATATATTGTCTTGGTGGAAAATGGTTAGACCTAGATCATGTGGTACATATTGGGAAAATTACATTTTTTTACACAAGTAATTCTGCTGCATGCAGAAATTCAAAAAATATATTTTTTTTTACTGGCAGCTCAGTTTTGGTTAAAAAACAAACAAACCAAATCATAAAATTGGTTAACCAAGCATCTCTAGTATTCACTCTTATCTTCCACAATTGTTGCTAAATTAGCAGTGTAGGGTAAAATGAATAGTTGATAACAGACATGCACCTAATACCATGTTGAATGGTATTCCGTAAAAGGTTGTTCATGCACACTTTGATTCCCAACCTTGCACATATAGTTAATAGGATTTACATGCAGAGGTTAATTCATTGTGTACATTTTTGATTGGATAGTTTGCTTGGAAAGGATTTAGTCTGAATGACATTTTGGCACTTATGATTGGACTTGATGAAGACAATTGCACAGCTACTAAAGCATTATTGAAATTTAATTCTTTCTTGCTGATTGTTTAAAGTATGTATCATTATGATGCATTTTTAAAGGCAAAATTGTAAAACATGGTCCAGCCCTTGCTAAAGCTTCAAAATATTTGGCCAATAATAAACATGAAATAAATTCAATTTGTAATTAATATTTTCTTATTCCTTAAAAAAAAAGGCACAGAACATGTGAGCTGTAATTTGTCATAGTTGTAATAAGATATATTTTATTCCTGTTTATGAATAAGTGTAAAAGATTGGGTTTAATATAATTAAATATGATGCTTAATAGATATAGTGCCTGTATTCTTAGAAGATTTATTTGTCAGTGCTTTTTCTGTCACTTAGGGATTGCTTGTAAAATGCCCAAGCCAAGGTATAAATGTTTTCACTGGAAGAACATCCTGATCATTTTAAGTACAAAATAAATGATAAATGACCTTATGTGGTCATATTCTTGTTCAGAGGTTGCTAAATACCTCTGACATACAGGAATCTAACCTACATAAAACCCAGTGTGTCATGTCACATCATGTCATTTATCCAGATAGAATGTATCAGTTACAGTCTGCCCATTATGATTTTAGTGATGGAGGTGCTAGGGGGATGTGAGGGTGTGTGTGTGTGTGCTGTGAAACCTTATAAGTGTAGTGAGTGTTAATATATAAGCATAAAGTAAAGATGTAGTGTGAGATAACCTAGCCTAAAGCTAAGTGCATAAAATGTATCATGAAAGTAAAGACGTCAATTCTATTTTAAACTTAAATCATTTCTGAATTAAGCTATTTTCTGTTATATCACCAACGTTTTTAATAAAACAAACCTCTTTAATCAATGGAAACTAAATTAAGAAATTGACATATTTTTCCAGTTTTGTTTTCTATACATTTCATTTTATACTTTCAGTACATAGACTGACAACAATATTAGGTTATGCTTTTGTTGCTAAGAAACAAGACATAAAAGCTTTGTTGGAACATAATGGTACCAAAATGCATTGGCTTTTTCATATATTCAAAGTTGTTAATCTGATTTTACCAATAATTTATGAATATGCCATTAATTCATTTCATGAATGATCTTAATTTTAATTGGCTCACAAAGGAATTTACGAACATTTGCTTGCCTCAACTGCATTTTTCTGCCTCTTTGTTGGTTAAACTTGATTTTACAAAACTTATTTCAGTTATTTATGAAATGTGAGGTTAGGGTATACTATGTATGGGGTGGAGGTGGTAATACTTGCCTTGTAATTTTTGATGAGCTATATGCTAGTCATTAATAAATCCTAGGAAATAGAATAGTAACTTAAGTAAAGGGCAAAGGTAGGCTAAGGTGAGTTATTTCGATCTTTCTCCAAGGGAATTGATAAGATTGAGTAGCACATTTTTTTTCATATTGAATTGTAAGGGCAATACATGAGGCCTTTGGCTGTGGGAAACAGATGCTTGGCCCTTCATGCTCCCTTGGGCAGCAATGACCTAGTCAATAATTATTCATTGTTTTGTTTTGTTTTTAGGGTATCCTTGCTCTAAGTTATGGTTATGACTAGTCTTTGAAGATCATTGGATATACCAAGTTTTGTTGTGGCATCATTTAGTTTACTCCCCTTATCCAACCAAAACATAAAAACACACTAAAGGTAGCTCTTCACATCCATATCATCATTGAAATAAATCATCCATATGTACATTATCTAAGCTTAGAGAAACTTTAAATATTTAAACACTAGAAGTAAATCATTTTTAGACTTATGCTCCAGAGAATATAGCTCCAAAGTTCTAAGCCTTCCCTCATGGTTAAGATGACTTAAGTCAATTATCATTCTAGTAACCCATTTATGTACTCTATTTAACTATTCTAGCACGAAGCTCAGTCCTTGGGACT